CAAATCTTTCGAGTGTGAGATTTGTCATAAATCATTAGGACAAAACGTTCATCTCCAAAATCACATAAATGCAGTACATGATCGTAGCAAACCCTTCGAGTGTGAGATTTGTCACAAATTATTTGACCTCAAAGGTAATCTTAAACTTCACATCAATACAGTACATAATCGGAGCAAACCCTTCGAATGTGATATTTGTCATAAATCATTTGGACAAAAAGTTTCCCTCAAAATTCACATAAATACGGTACATGATCGTTGCAATTTTTATAGTGGAGTACGCAAAGTTACGTCAAAAGCGCAAATATAATTACATTACAAGATTGTAGTAAATTTTCCATATAATACGATTTTCCTGAGATCTTCGAACACAAGAAATTGAAACATAAATAAGTATCATAATGTTTTAAAACTTTCGACAATAATATTTTCTAATTTTCTAAAAGAATTTCAGAGTATTTTCAATTTTTATAAAATTTAACATGACTTTTCATCTTTATCAAATAAATTTATTACTAAAAAAATCGTCGTTTTAATTGGTTTGTTTAATAATCATTGTGAAACTTGTTGTTACACTTATCATTCATTTTTTACCTTTTACCAATTTCTTATCATTCTGGCATCAAAAAATTCTTCTACTAAAGTTCTTAAATCGAGGATTATTTCTGAACTTCGTTTCCTATGCACCGGCGTATCATTTTTCAACTTAAATTGTCGCTCTGGTGCATGCATTAAAAATAATTATTAATACCATAAATAAATATGGAGACCAAAAATATCAGGTTAGCGACGAGCATAGAAAAATCGCAAAGGCTAATTATGTGAGTGGCGGTATAACTATCAGTCAATTTCGAGACTATATCAACGAGAGAAATATTTCAATCTCGATTTCATTTTGCCGATAACTCGTAGAATTGCTCATATACACTATTATATGTGAGGGCTTTTATTTGTTCAACTTTCTGCGCGTGTCCTCGTGCGACTTTAAAAGGCTTGTTCAATTTTTTATCCTCTATGAGGTTTTGTAGCTTGCACGAGCATTATGTCTTTATTCTTACTTTTTCTTGGTATTGATATTTTACGTATGAATGAACATGGAAATGTTCATGTCGGCGAATGGAGTCCTGTGAATTTCATAAAGAATCTCGACAATGGCCTTACGTTTCCAATAACTGTGCCATTGAAAACTTCGAGTACACAACCGTTTAGATCTTTCGAATAATCTCAAAATTCGTCCACGTCATTTATTCCTAGGTCGAACTTGTAGAGAAAAGCGTGACCAGAGGGGAAAATTCGCCACTACTGTGTCAGTGCACGCGTCTCAAACAATGAATAGCTTTCGTCTCTCGACTAACTTGTGCAGCCCATGCCGTGCGCTGTAAATGCAACTTTATACGTTGTTATAAGGCTACTACATAAGCTTCATTTGATCTGGAATTCCTTTAAAGCAATGCACTAATTGAACATTCGATTAACTGCGGAATGTTCTTTACTACGACGGATGCTCGGGCTAGCTTTCAAAAGTCTCATTAAAATTATTAAACTAAGTTAATAACTTCGTGCGCTTCCAACAAAGGATCCAGCATTAAACGTCAAGTACGCGGAAGAAATAAAAAATAAGTTGTTAAGTGACGTGCGGGGAGAGAGAGAGAGAGAGAAGTAAGCGTACTATACAAGTCTAAAAATGTAAATAAGCAGAAATAAAAGGTGAAAAAGGTCAAGCGCGCGACCAGTTTCCTGAACTCAATTTGAAATGTTTTCTTTCTTCTCCTCACCTTCCTGCTCTCTATGATACTTTTGTCTTGGTTTTTTTGTGCACGCAAATTAATTTTTCATGGCTATTAAAAAATTTAATTCGTGCAAACAACCCATAACAAGGTGGCTTGTAAAATAGCGTTGAGTGACAATTTTAATTTTCATAGATTTGTACAGGATATAATGAATTTTCATTCACAATTGTATTCCAACCTGTACAGTTTTTGTCAATAAGAATTTGAATGAACGTCAATCAAATATTTATTTTATTGGTTATTTATTTTTCTGGGAAAATCATGTCACTTTTATCATCATTTATTTCATGAAAAGAGTAAACCCTCAAAGAAAAATTCCCCTTTAATTCGGTACAATTCACGGGATAATTAATAGCAAAACTCGCCAGGTCCGATTATTTACCGCGCAGCACGAGTCCTTCACACGCGTATACATGAGAGATAATAGAACTAATTTATAATATCCAGTCTTTCAGTAAAAACAGTCACGTAGGGATATATCAGTGATGTGTACATGCCGGGTTGGCGCAGCGTGTATAGCTCACACACACATACACACAACAGGACATACATATAGTATACGAAAGCAGAAACACACCGGGCGGCTGGCTCGCATATCCCAAGCGAATCCAAAAGACGAGTAGTATAGCGTGCAGCAGTAGTACGACACGCGAGAAGAGAGACTACATACTACTTCGGGCACACACGAGCTGACGCGTGTGCAGTAACGGAATCGTACTCTTGGGGGAATGCATCCGAGAGCTCGAGCGCCCCGAGTTATAAATCGCGTATACGCGTATACATACGAGCTGTTCGGGTTCCTCGACGCGTGTGTGAGGCATACGCCGAGAGTCGAGCTGCGCGCGCGAGAAGCGTGGCCGAGAACACGCCGACGACGAGCGCGCGACAATACAATCGAGGAATAATTTTTTTTTTTTTGCTCACACGAGATCTCACGCCTCATGGCGGTGCTATGTAGTGCGAAAAGAAAGAAGGAAGATATTCAAATTTAAGTCGCGCGTGAGCTGCAGCTGAAAATAAGAGTATGGCAGAGCCTGAACAGTCAAGATTATTCATCGGCAGAAAACATCAGAAATGATGAAAGATTCATTGCGCTCGTCGTCGGTGCATGGGTCTTTGCACTACCTACTGCATCGAGTTAGAATTCGCGAGAGCTGCAAGAAGAAAAAAAAAGAGCGATTTATACCGTGTGCAGTAGTAGCTGCGTGGTATATATATATAGCATCACCTCTACAAAGCCTCGCGTCTCTTGCCGCACGCGTATATTATACATTATATACCTATGTATGCTGTAAAAGCGTACGTACCACTTTTCCTTTTTCCCCGGCGCACGACCTCTCGCCTGCCTGCCCGCACCCGCACCCGCGCCTGGCCTGGAAATCTGCCAGAATGACTTTAATTTCGATAAAAATTCAAATGCACCCCCGCGCGCGCGCGACTACCGCATCAAATATCTTTCAAGACGTCGAGTGTCACGCGACGCCTTCTTCCTGATTTAATAATTTTACCCTCTTAACTACATATACACTGCCTTATCATTTTTCAGCTTTTTTTTTCTTTTACATCGTGCATGAAAGTATATAGATATCTCTTCTTGGCTTCGATCAATTTTCACAAACATTCACGAGCGAGATTGTTATTTCGCGGACAAGGGGGAAAGAAAAATCTCGGAATCGAAATGGCCCGGGGCTAATAAAACCAATGTCTTGGCCCGCGAAATTTCATTGGGACAATATTATTCTAGCCCCTAGCCACGGGATAGTTTTCAGATATCCCGCTGTCCTATCTTTGTACATCGTCCTTCGAGCACTTTCTAATCTTCCTTGCGATTGCGTCGAGGAAACAAAACACTCGATCGTTGTATAATATTGAATATAAATTTTACGGGTATTTTTTTTAAGCAGGTCGTTATTTTTGTAGTCGCGTACTTCGAACGGAAGTGAATAAGCAGAATTTGTTGACAGAATTCGCATGCCACTAATAAACAGTGTTTGATCTCGCAAACAACACCTGACAGCGGAATCAACCTTAAATTATCGTAGACTTTTGTTTGGTAAATTTCAAGATGATTACTCTTCTCTTTTGGCTCAATTTTTGAGAGCATAATATTTGGTCAACATTGAAAATTTGCCATTATTGCAAGTTCAATGCAATATTGAATCATGTAAATATTGAATTCGATCATACATCAAATTTCGACGGTTTACGTAATCGCGCGGCAAGTGTTTTTAATCGTCTTTTGACGCACCTTCTCTTGTAGCTTATGTTGACATTTGTTTGTCGCGTGGTCTCGTATTGCAACAGTTGTCAAAAGAAAAAAACTAGAAATGAAAAAACTAATAATACTACAAAATGCAGCTACACAAACAACGCGTGAAATCAGCAACGATTATAGAATTTTGAATTAAGCTCCACGCGCGGGGAGACTGAAGCAGCTGCAAGGCTCGAGCGTTCGTTTTTCCATGAATAAATAATTTACCACGTCGGCGTGTATATACGGAGAAAATTCGTGACGCACTTGTAATTTTCCTCTGGCTTTAATTGCGTATATCGCATTAAACGCTTCGACTTTTTCTCTGTTTGCACTGCCGTATAAACTATCCTTATACTGTGCTCTGCGCGAGGTCTCGTATTTTTAGTCGAGCGAAATATCCTATACATTTCCAGGATATAAATATAGTTAGTTTTACCACTCAAACTCGAATTATCATCGCGCGCAAAATGACCGAGTTATTGTTTAATTGGATTATACGCCCACTCTTCTCTCTCTCTCTCTCTCTCTCTTTCTCTCTCTCCTCTATCTCTCCGCTCTCGCGCACGTGAATTCATGATTTTTTTTGTTTTTATCTTTCAAATTTCAAAAGCTGCACCGAACGCGCTACAGAAATTTGATAAATTTGTTTGCTTTTCCGGTTGTTTATCGCCCGTGCCGATTGATAATTATTACGGGTGCGTCAATATGTTTTTATTTTCCGAAGGGCAATTAGCCCAGTCATTGTGCATTACTGTTTATGTTAATTATGATTCGACAGAAATTTCCGACAATTACAACGAAAAACAAACGAGGCACCTAAAAATTGCTCGCACGAGGATTCATTTATTAGTTATTGAAACAAGCCACCGAGCTTTCAATTCCATCATTAATCATCAATTACAACTACACAATCTTGACGTTATAATATCTTCAAGATTACGACTTCATAACGATTTATTTATACGCTCACCGCTCATGCACTGAACAATCATCAAATTATTTCTTTCAACAAACGTGGCTCTTCTAGTCCATTAAACTTGTGGCGCGGGGTCGATAAGCAAACAATTATAAACTTTGCGTACGATGCGTATAAGTAAGCGACAAGTGTCAATGTACTATGCAGTTGGAAAGTAGCAATCTAGTCATTCACTTGTTCTCTGTAAACCGAAAAAAAAATTTTATACAACCAAAAATGTTCAGTGTTATTAAATTAATCTGCGTTGCGGCGTTGGTCGCGAGTGCTCAAGCTGTTTCCGGAAACTGTAAGTATACGAGCTTAAACGAGAAATTATGGTAAAGATGAAACTTCGAAGTGATGGGAATTTTTTTTCTTCCTTTTAATTCAGACGATGGTGTTCTGGATGAGTTGAAGCAACGGGTCGAGGTAAGATTTCGCGATTCTAGTAGTTTAAAGTTCGAGGCGTCAAGTCGGTAATTTTAACTTTTGAAATGTGTTTCCCAAAAGCTGAAAAATGATGCTGCGGTCGACGCTTACATAAAACACCAGGTCGACTTGATGGCGAATGATGGCAACCTCAAGTTTCCTGGAGAATACGAGATGCGCATGCCGTACATTTTCGACAGTACTTTGTACATTAATATGCACAAAGTCGTTGCCTCGTGAGTTGATGATTATTTTGGCATCGAAATTACAGGCGAAAAATACAGACTTTTCATTCAACAACTTTTTACTATTTACAGCGACGTAAGACATATGCGCAGATCTGGTCCCTCGAGCGCCCGATTCGGGGCTGATTCAATCACGGTCAGGTATCCAGTAGTTCTCCCCAATATCAGAATCAAATTTGGATTGGCTAAGGTAAGCACAACTCGTTCGTGGAAAAGTGAAAGTTCGTACATCGACGAAAAAATTCATGCGGTTCTTATTAACAGTTCAAAGTCTTGGGAGTACCGACGAGCGTGAACACAGCCTACATCGACGTGAGGAAGATGAGCGTAATGGTCGAGTCAACCGCGAGAATTACCAAGAACGAGTGCGACATCAGCTTCACCTTCGATCCAATCAGAGTATCGAACGTGAAGATCGGTGGCACCGTCCTGGCGACGTTCGCCGGAATCGACGAGCCGGTTTTCAAACGAACGCCGGCCTTGATCAATGAGGCACTCACTCGCAAGTACAAGGAATACGGCGACTATCTCTGCCAATCTCTGAAGAAAAATTAGAGATCGACGCTGGCATTGATCCATGACTTTTACGTAATCAAGAGAGAGAGAGAGAGAGAGAGAGAGAGAGAGAGAGAGGCAAATTTTTCTTTTTAGTCATTACGTTTGTGTACAGAAAATATTTTCAATAAAAAAAGCTTTGATTTGAAAAATCAAAAAGCTGCGAATCGAGAGTCTTTTGAAGATACATATTATTCCCCCTGCAGCTGCATACACAAATTTGCGTCTCTGATATTTTTCGCGGTGCGTGTTATTGCAAAGCTGGCTTTGATATAGTGATCGATTGATGCTTTTCAGCGGTAAAAAAAGCGTCATTTCATACATCTCGATTTGAATTAGACGATGTAAATCAAAATATTTCAAAAGATACAAACGTACGTGGCTTTGTCACGAATCCCTCTATAAATTCAAATTTTTCCATCCCTACACACAGATATATTTTTTTTCGAAAACAAAATATTCCATACATCTGTCGCGTCGAAAAGCGCGCGGAATCGTTCGGTGGATGCTCCCTCCTCCTCCTCCCCTCCTCTATTACATTTGCTTTTGAATTTTTTTCCCGTATTCTGCACATTTCGAAGAATCATCTCTTCGGACATAAATTCTTGGCTTTACAGCAGCGAAAGCTTCGAATTTAGCTGCTGCTCATGCTACTGCTGCCGCTGTTGCTGGACCTGCAGACGCTAATAGTCTCGTTTTTCTTCTAATAACAATGCGCCATAATAAATTTGAGTTTCGGCCCGCGCGCGCTTGCGGGCGGACGCTTAAATATTTATACATATATCTAACATTTTTAACGTGTATAGCGAAATTTACGCTTTTGCTCGGCCAGAAAAGAAGACGTGAGTAAAAAAAAAAAAGCAGGCGCCGAGCGTACCAAGATCGCGGAATGGCGTATACCTCCACGTACCTATATACACAGCTAACTGGTACACAGTGAGGTGTGCGCGCGCTATGGCTATACGCGATACGTGTTTCGAGTTTAAAGGGCCGCTAGTCGCGCGTCGTATATCACGTCGAGTAAAAACTGGAGAGAGTCGAGACTCGCTGCTATATACGATACTGCTAGCGCTTTTAGCCGCACAAAGTCGTGGATGAGTATAGCGTGTATGTGTGCGTGTGTGCAGTGTGGCTTCGGATACTTTGAAACTTTTGCTGTTTTTTAAAACGCGTAGTTCTTTTTTCTCTCAAAAAGTAGAAAAACTACGCAACTCGCTTTTAATTGATCGCCCCACGCGCGCACGAGCTTGATTTTTACTTCGTTTCGAAAAAGTCGACTCTTTGACCGTGTAACGCGGGGGCGCACAAAGAGCGCCATGTGTGTACATACACCTATCCCAACATCGGTTATAGAGCTCGAACCGAGGAAAAAAATTAAAAGTGTGTTTCAACATTTAATTTTACATCGTTCCGGAGTATATATCGCGTTTATCGTTGCGCGCGACCCATCCTCGTTCCCTTTTAATGCCAATGAATAATAAAAATATTTGCCCATGCTTCGGTCTCTCTCTACTTCAAAAAATCCATTATCTCGCTCTCAGCCTCGCTGTATACAACGGCCGCACGTAGCTCCCGTATATACTTATTCATACATCTCTCTTCCTCACTTATATTCCGCGGGTCCACCGAGCGCCGTGCCAGCCACTGCTGCTCGGTTTAATAATTTCGTCTTTTTAGTTTTTTTTTATCTCCTCTCTCTCTCTCTCTCTCTCTCTCTTTTCTCGTCGTGTCTCTCTTTTCTTCGTATATTTTATTCTCGCAAACTGCGCACAAAACGTCCAAGTTCTGTGGGTGCTTAGACTCGCAGAAGCTAGACGACGACGACGTCGCGCATCGCGCTTGCATACATTATTTATCGCACTATGCAAGGCGCTCGATCTATACGCGGCCGAGAGTGAGAGAGAGAAAAAACCCCTCGCGCGTCTGTGTGTATACTGCAGCAAAAAGCCGGCTGAAACTTCATTTTTCGACGCTTCGCCCTCCTCGTCAGTCTGGAGATTTCAAATGTGTTAGACTTCATGAATACCACTATTCATTAATGGATAAGAGATTTAAGATTGCAAGTCTTAATGTTTTAATATCGCAGATTTTTTACATTTTAATTCTTCTAGCAACCCGCTAATGTTAAAAACTCTTTCTCTGCGTGCCGAATTACGTATGAAATTATTTTATCTCAGCCACAAGCCGTTGGTCAATTCATTAGATGGAAAATCGATCGATGAGAAAATCGTGTAACTTTTGCGATCAAATCGCCAGCACGTGCAAAATTAACGAAGTCGATCGCCACGGTCAACATACATATAATCAAACCAACGTCATTAAAAATCCGAACCTACACTTCCATAAAGAAAATTCACGTCTCTCGTTCTTTATTCAGCAAAATCAAAGCATTAAATTTTAATTACGGGGAAAAAAATTTATCGACACGATCGGTTACAAGAATCAGCAAAAAAAGAAGCGCAACCGCGATGGTGTATAAAAAATACTTAACTTGCCGCACGCCCCCGTCGTGATTGTTCGTCCTCCCGACGCCTCACTCTCTTTCTCCCTCGTTATCGTACGTTATCTTTCAATCTGCGCCGCGCTGTTGTGGGAGAAGAAGATAGCCCGGGTCTCGAACATTGCGGTCGGACAAGCGACCTAGTGGCAATTTCGCCAGCTTTAAGAGACTCATAACGGATAAGCACCGAGCGGCAGCAGCGGCAGTCGAGTTTTGCCGCCGTCAAGGTGCGCAGCAGCAGCTAGTATAACGTAAGGAAGTAGAGGTTCTCGTGATAAGAAGTTTATGTAGCAAATCGTTTAGTACATGGTTATTGCGACTGAGGTACGTTTATACATGTACTTCGTAGCTGCGATCTTATAATTTTCAAACTCCGAGTAAATGCGAAGGATAGCTTGCTGCTATAATATTCGTCAAAATTTATTTGAATTTAAATGCCTTGTTTTGATTATTTTACTGTGCTTTTTAGTCGAACCAAATATGTGGTTCAAGTAGACAATATCAACGTGCGATCAGACACATCCACACCGACCGATGTCGACTCGAATGGAAAGTCAAAGTCGTGAGTTCAAAGAATTAGCAATCGTATTTTTTTAGTCATTTAGAAAAAAACATCCCACTTTCACATAAAAGTGGAAAAAAGAGAGAGGAAAATTGCGACATTTGACTCTCGTAAGAGCGCACGTACTTGATCGAGAAGTCAAAATCTGTGCCCCAGTCCAGTGTAAATTTTGTACACAGCCATCGGAGAGGATCATCCGGCATTTCCCTAAAGGGACACGAACAGAGCAAGAGCCGGAAGTCCAAAGTGCATAGAAGCTTTACTCCAGAGCTCGCCGGGTGACTATCGAAACGCTCGAACGTTAAATGCCCGGCCTCGAGTCTTGCAGCAAACGTTGCGAGCTTGATAATATATGTCACGGGCCGCAGTTGAAAATTCGAAAAGTGTAACGTAAAACTAAAAAAGAAAAGCGAAGCGTGATTCGCGTGAGAAAATTCGTTAAGCTATGCGAGCGCGCGTGGAATACTATGTAATACTTATTCACGTTGCAACCGAGTCGCACAAGGCTGATTATGCGTAATCCACTTTGTGCGTATCAGACGCGATGACTTGAACGCGAACTTAATACCGGGGGGTTTGCACGAATAAGCCTCCGGCGCGTATTTATAAGGGTTAAAATGTAGCACACGCATTCCCCTCGAGCTAGATATAGAGAGAATTAGAAAAACGTACGGATGTAACGTGGGATTTCTTTTTGGGGATAAAAAATACGCACAAGAGTTTCATGAATGTTGATGATATAGCTGATGCTGCTCTTTGATGAATAATTGTATCTGGTCTCTTATGAATTTTATTTTATCATGCACACAAAAGTCCGGAGGTAAAAAATAGTAAACTTATTTCAGCTTTGAATACTGATCATCTCTCAGAAGACAATGTTTAATGGAAATTTTAAACTCGATTATATGTTTCAACACGTAAAAAGTTAAGATGGATGTTCGCTGACGAGAAGAGAGAGAACCACGTGGATATGCATTTAAATTTTCCATGTTTAATGCGAAAATTGTATAGATATTCTTGAGAAAGTATGAAAGGCAAAAATGGTAATTCGATAGCACGTTAAGCTGCCTTCAAAAAGCTCTGAGAAGCTCTCTGCTTCGTGTGTGCTTTTAATTTTATTCCAAAAGAAATGAAATTTTTAAAATAATTAATGAAATTCTCATTTAATATGTTATAGATATAATTGACTTACTTTTAGCGATTCGAATCGATAACGTTGGAATTTGAAACAATGATAATGCGTTGCGCAATAATTATGAGATGAAAAATAGCCCATTTCGAAGCCGCAATTATGCCAATTAACATTGTTGTATTTAGTTCGTTAGAGCTCCTATTAATTGGGTTAAACGAAATGAATAGTTTATAATTTGTGTCCATCACTCATACAAATTGAAATGTATTTTCAAAAATCAAAATATTATTCAATTTGATACTACTTTGTTTGCCCCTTTATTTTGAAAAATTTAATAAATAAAAGCCACCAAAAAAACTTTAATAAAATATTTTTCAACATTCAATACGGCCAACTTTATGTTACATTGTACGATGTACATGCATCATTTAGATAGAATAATATTATTGCATCGTATTACTCCTGTCACGGTCTGAACAATGGAATATCTCGTATCATTGTAGTAAATAGCATTTCAAACAGCAGCTCGCTCCAATTGAAATTCAGCATATTGCCGAGGATTCCTCGATTTATATAAATTAAAAAAAGAGAAAAAAAACAAACGAGAATTTCAGCTCGAAGTTTCTAAACAAGACAGGGGAGATGAGTATGATGGAACGTACAAATGAATCGATGTAAATCAACTGATGCGTCGCTTCGATCACTATCCATACGCACACACGATGCAGTTGGAATCTCGTGAAACTTTTGCTCTCAGCGAGCGATGAATCGACAGCCTCCTTTCCACCCCCGGCCGCGTAATTTGCTTACCCTTTTTCGAGTGCATAAACGCGTATACGTGTGCATTATATATACGCCCGCGCGCACATAATAAAGCCGAACTGGCAAACAAAACAAAAGTTACGTACGGTACTGGGTACGTGGGTAGTGTGTTGCGTCCTACTGCCTACATATAGCTGCATCGTATACATAGTGTATATGTGTGCAGGCGAGCGAGAGGTTTTATGAATTTTACGCGATACGAGAAAAGCACAACAACTAAATGGTTTCCATACAGCCACCCACGCGCGTACCATATGATGCTGCAACCAACTTTTTTTTTCAATCCATTAACTTTCGAATTCATTTACGGTCGGCATTCCGCGTACATGAATATACACATATACTGGACAATGTCAGTTATATTATATACGTAGCGTACAGTATATGCGCCATAGACAGAGGCTATTATAGTTCGTGCTTCGCGTATATCTAGGTAACTCGGCTACATAAAGCGCGTACGTAACGCGCGGGGCAGGTCATGATTTGTTTGAGAAATCAAACGAGTTTTAAATAGTACATCCACTGACGCGTATACGCGGGCGCACAATGCACATACGAATGCGAACGTATGAATTTTTATATCCCGTGCTCGAGCGAGCGATGATTTAGAAGGAAAGAGGACGAAAAGAATCAAAAATATTTTTTTTGAAACTAGATGAAAAATATGCTCGTGACATATGCACTAGATAGTAATAATAATAATCATGATAATAATAACACATATCACCTACACAGGTATCGACAATTTTCTTTTTCTCTCTTTCTCTCGAGTGCACGAACATCAGAACTAAGGGTATCTGGCAGGTATCCAGAGCTATTCCGCATGGACACTGTGTCTCTACATAAAATATGGTGTCTCTTGAGCTACTGTGCCTGCATATGCACCCAGACTAACGTGCACAATAGTGGCTGGTGCGCGGGCTATCAACCCTTTTTTTGGCCTTTGTGCGCGTCTGTATACGTGCTGTAACGAGAATACAGGTGACGCGATACGATATTCCGCTGCATTAACGGATAAAGAAAAGTGTGAAATGCGCTTTTTTCTCCGTTTACGTTGAACGCGCTGATTTGCTCTCTACGCTCCATATGAATTGAATGACATTACAAATTATTAAAAAATTAACGATATAACGCTGTATTACGAGATTGTTTATGTAACGCAAACCAAACGTAAACTTTTTCAACAAAATATTGCAATTTTAGTTTTTATTTATAAATTGATACAGAGAGATGTAAACGTCGCTACACAAACGTGAACGTTTTTTCAAATCATTTTTCTTTTTTAAATAAATGTACAAAAATAGCCGAGGAAAAAACGTCGCGTTGGCCGCACAAAGAATATAATGCTAAAAGCAGATGTCATCGCAAATCGTAAAAAACGAAAGAAAATTTGCAAACGTGTGCATCCGACTCGCTAATCGAATACAAGAGCCGCACAGTTCGTTTTACAATGACGTACACAAAAAAAAAATACGACGACAAAAAACAATGCGAAAAAACATCGAACAAGAAAGTAAATGAAGAAATGTGCTCTTCCGATCACGTATATATACGAACGAACGAATTTAAGATTCACCGCGTTCCTCCTCGCTCTCAGAGAAAGGCTCCTGATTGTCGATGTCGGATTGACTATTGCTCGCTGCCGCCGCTGCAGCAGCCGCCTCCGCCTCCTCGGCTTCCAAAGCTTCCTCTTGGTCTTTGGCCGACATGCCTTGGAAGAGACGGGCGTGCTCGGCTATTTCCGGTATGCGGTCGTCGATCAATTTTTCCACGTCGACTTTATCCAGCTCGTCCTGGATGCGACGTCGAATCGGTCCCTCGAGGGCATCCATTATCTGGTTCCTGTGACGTGATTTGCGTGTGCGTTTTTTAATGCAGTTTGTCGGGAGAAGGAATCGCGAGAGAAAATATTTAATATCCGCAGCTCTGCGGGGCGTAGCAAAACTCCAGCGCAGCCGGCTGCAGCTTACCTGAGCAGGTTGGGCAGAATATTGACGCCGGCCTCGACGAGATAATCCAGTGTCCCGGCGCCGTGGATCCTCGCCTGTATGTTGCCCAGCTCGAAGTCGAGCTCCTCGAGGGTGGCGCGCTGGCGCGTGTCCAGCGGCTGGCTGAGATTCAGCTGCACCCGGAAGTACTCGATGGTGAAGCTGACGGTGCCGGCGCGCGACACCACCCCGCCGATCAGACTGACCTCCCAGTGGGTGCGGCCCTCGATCTCCTGGGTGCCGACGTCCATCACGGCGTACACCGTGCCGTTCTCCATGCTGAGGGTGATGTTGCCCATGCGATAGAAGCTCGCCAGGCCCGTGAGCCAGGTGTGCGACGACGTCATCGTGAACATGCCCATGCTCTGGCTGTAGTCCTTGACCTTGAACGGGTCGTAGCCCATCTCCGAGACCTGCTTGCGGGCCTCGGCCACCGCCATGTCGAACGGAGAGATCGAGTTCGGGAAGTAGTTGGGCAGCTGCGATATGTGCTTGTTCACCTCACCCCTGTAACAGCAGATAGGCCAAATAATATTAAAGATCTAACGCTCGATTGCGATGCGATTTGAGCTTGGGTCGATTGCGCACCTGACATTGGTATTGACCTCCTTGAGGATGTAGGGCTTGATACTGTCGAATATGAACGAGCCGACGGAATTGATGAGACCCTGGAAGACCGAGGCGAAGAAGCCGAGGTTCTGGAAGTCCATGTCGATGTTGTCGAAGGTCAGATCCATGTCGATGTCCTGGGCATGGAGTTTGCCGTCGTTGCCGACCTCGAGCCTGGCCAGGCCCTTGACGTTGACGCCCTTCAACTTGACGATGAAGTCGCCGGCCGACGAGGAGATCCACGAGGACAGCGTGTACAGGCCCTTGATGTCGAGCGTCTGTATGTCGAGGGCCACCGAGACCTGCATCTTGGCCAGTTCCGACCTGATCTGCTCGATGCGGAACTTGCTCAGGCCGTAGACCTTGATGGTGTTGAGATTCATGGTGAACATGGAGAACGAGTGGCGCATGTTGGGCACGGGCATGGGATCGGGTATGGGGGCGCCCGGCAGCCCCACAGGGTCCGCCTGCTGGTAGTGCTTGAGGATCGAGCGTATCTGGTCGCCGAGCTGCTTCTCGCCCAGGGCCATTTGGGCCGCGGCCGACGTCGCTGTCGTCTCGTTGCCACTGCTAGCCGGGCTCTGACTTGTCTCGGCTGTGAATGACAAAATCGGTACGCATTGTAACGATGCCTGCTCACGATACATTTCACATACGCCGAAATTTGCTTACAGATATCTTTGAAAAACTTTTGATAAAAAAATCCGATTCGCAATCGTATCGCTAAGCCCGAGAGCATGTACGGTGTCTTTCGTTTAGTTCGAGTATAAACGACGGAGACAAACGAAGAATAAAAAAAATACGAAACGAAAACATTAAAGACTTACCGCAGTTGGCGACATTGCAGCTGCAAAAGAGATGCAGCGCGATGAGTAAAGCGACGACGATCGACGACGACGGCGGCGACGCCGTTAAATCCCAGCGTCTCATGATCTATATACACCAGCTCGATTATCTCCACGGCGTAAATGTGTGTCAGTACAATTGATGTCTATGCGCAGCACACGTACGTAGATATATGCGACGCGCTACGTACGTATTAGCGTTATGTATATGTGTGTATGCGTCTCTGCGTGGGAGAAAACGAGCAAAAGAGAAAAGGATCGGGCGTCTCGGGTCGTCGTCGCGCGCTATCTCTCGCGCCTCTCGACGCTGCTGCGGTATAGCAGTATGCCTATACACCCCTATTATCTCGCGCTCGTGTTCTCAAGTTCGCCAACTCCTACGCCGCGATTTTCCTCGCCGAGTTTTCGCTGCAGCAGGCACAGTGGTAGGCCGCACACACCCACACGCACAGAGACACGCGCGAGATGTTGTTACAAAAAAGACTACGCGCGGGACCGACGCCGATGTCGCACTCGAGATTCGACTTCTTTTCTTCGGACGAGACCCATGTAGTAAACGATCACATGTGTGCGCCTATATATATTCGTATGTAATCTCTCTCTCTCTCTCTCTCTCGCTCTGTCTCTCGTACGGCTGCTGATGCTGCGGCCGCCGCCGCCACCGCTGCCTCGAGTCTTCGCGGGGTCACGCGAAATGTAGCTCGAGGGTCAAGCCCCTTATCTCTCGTTCAATTATAAATATATGTAAGAAAAGATAGAGAGCGAGCGAGACAAACACACAAGCTTGAGAATGAGACTCTAATCGCGCGCCTCTCACGCTCGGAAGCTGAAAATCTTGTGTACGCATGCATTCTGTTTTCGCTTCATTCAAGAGTCGAGTGTCTTTTTCTCTTCAGTAAGACCGTACATACCATTTGCGTACACGTATATTACAGCGCCTATCGCGTGCTCGCGCGGAAAACATCATCGCCATCATCGTTTGCGCGAACGAGGCTCAGCAGCACGTGTTAGACATTTGGCTTTGGCCGTAATGTAACGGCGATGCGTCAGTATGTCGTGATGAGATGAAAAAACCCAGATCACAAGCAGATGCTTTTGTGTGTAATAAGCGGTACAAGCAGCCGTCGCAAGATCAGCCTAATAGCCGAAGTATTATGAACACTCAATTTTATTTTGATTCAATTAAATTGGTTGATGTCTTTTATGTCGATTTGATACGAAATCTCTCGGTGTACGCGTCGGTGTCAAATGTACTTGACATTTCTAAAGTCATTTCTCGTTTCGAAAATTGAATTGGCGAGCGATGTAGAGCACAGCTATGTCAGTGTACGATAAAAGAGAATAGTTAGAAATCGTTGTTATCGATTCTGCTGAATAAATTCGATTCAATATTTCAAATAACGATACTTTGGGAACTAAAAACAATGAAGTAGAATTATATTTTTCAGAATTTTTCTATACGCTTATTTATTAAAGGTTTGTACTTGAATACTGGGAGTCAACAGTCCTAAAATTTGTAAGAAAGCTAGAGTACACTTTTCGATATGTAATCGTCGCAGCTTTTCAGCGCGGCTTGCATGTCCTTGTAGCCGGATAACTCGCAGGCCTCCGCCAATCGAAGCCACTTGTAATCCTGATGCTCCCTTGACATTTGCACATCTTTGGATTTGTCGAGCAGCTCGGCCAGCCAATAAATCACGGTTTTCATCTTGCCTCCGACTTCGTACTTTAGTTCCAGTTTACAGTCCTCGTAAACCTTCAAATCTTCTCTCGAGAAGCCGGCTTCCTCCTGAGTCTCGCGATAAGCAGTTTGCATGTCATTTTCTCCAGGATCGACAAAACCTTTTTATATAAGCATACGCATCGAGATATTGTAAATTTTTTTCTTTTCGTATTTTGAGTGAAAGAAACCGCGAGTGCTACCTTTTGGCGGTGTCCAGTTGTGTTGGCCGTACGACGCCTGCATCAACAGGTACTCGACATTTGGCAAAACTCGTCGGAAAATGATGAAACCACAGGAACGGAATGGTCGAGACATGACTGCGTACGAATATTTCTCAGTGTTGTGTATGCGCTTCGATGTTTACAAGGCAGTAGCAGACTGTGTGACAGGCGACAGCTGATTCGAACGTGCGGCTGACTGTCGGACTCAAGTAGCTGCTGCCACCTGCTGCTCATCTCAAATTATTGTTGAATGTTGCAGCAATTTAAATCAAAGTATTAAAAAACCTTTAAAATTAAAACAATTAAATAAAATCATATGACACTGGGTAAAAATTCAATGACTTGCCAACAATTTCTTTTATCGATTTGACATTATGAAATGCCGAAATTCGCGATTATGAATAGTTCCACGAACAGCCGATTGAGGTCACTTTCAAATTTCTGTCTTCCCGATTGAAATGAAAATACCATTTTTTTACCAAATGCGGTTGTAGTAGAGCACGTGGCATCGCTTATTTTTATTATAAACTATATCAAAACCAAAATAAATACAAGTAAGTGCTGCAAGTATGTAATAATTGATGCTTGATGTTTACATTTATACATACTTTTATGTGAAAGATTATTGCTAAAATCTATAAAAACACCTGGAGCGTTTTAATGATTGGCACAATATAGATTTTCCACAATAATCTTGAGACTTTCAAGAGCTGTGGTTAACCATTAGATTGAAAAAGTGTCCTGTTGTCCAATTGAAAAGTGTTTATTCAGAAATATGGTTCATGTTTATTTTCCATTGATTATTAATGTGTGGCCTCTGTGTTTTTGAGAGCATAGCACCTTAGCATATTTGACATTTAATTTCATTTTAAAAATTGATAATGAGGGAATTAATAATTTAAATAGTTACTTTAATTGAGTTTGCATAATATAGTCAGGTTTCATATCGATTAAAATGTCAATAAAATTTTATTGTTGACCTTCGTTATTTATCAAAATATATTATCTAAATGTCTTAGCTGCTTGACAGTTGTCAATTATGTTGATCAATCAAATTTTAATTTTACAATTTTTATAAATTAATACTAAGAAAATATAACTTAATTCAATTATTCAAAATTATTGTATTATTATTAAAGCTAACACATAATAAATATTTAATATAATTATAATGTGTCAATTTCAGAATGCCATTAGCTGTAGATTATCTACACCCTGCACCAGCAGAGGAAAAAAGGAAGCACAAGCTTAAGAGATTGGTACAAAAACCTAACAGTTATTTCATGGATGTGAAATGCCCAGGTTGTTTTGTAATCAAAACACTTTTTTCCCATGCGCAAAAAGCTGTTCCATGTGATGGTTGCAATTCCATTTTGTGCACACCAACGGGTGGTAAAGCACGTCTGACAGAGGGATGCTCTTTCAGAAGGAAAGTTCAGTGCTAGTTTTTATTTAAAAAAAAAAAATAAAAGACAGTAACATATTTTCTTGCATGCATGAGAGTTTTTTTACCATCCATAAGACATCATATTTACTTACAACATTTTTCAAACAATTTTGAAAAGCTGAGTGGCTAAATAAAATATTTTACAGACTAATAGTAAGAGAGGAGTGTTTGTTACTGCTTACAACCATCTAATAATAAACAAATAATATCTGAAGAAAGTATAAGTGATGAGTAAATAGAGATCTGTTCTAATGATTTACTTAATTATGTGATGAAAGCATGCATTGATATTTAGTTTCTTAATAAATTTTGGTATGTTGTTCAATATCTAATCTGTAATTATTAAAATACCAGGTAAAATATTGAATTTAGATTATAAAAAATATCAGTTATGACTTGGTTCTAATTTTCTATTGAATACTATCAAATACTATACTTAATTCTTTAAGGACCACTGTACTCCAGTTGGTACAAAGTTAATAATAAATTTTAACACTAAGATGAGGGATATTGAATGTTTTCCATTGATGTGTTCAGTATTTATGAAAATAATACAAAATTAAGATAAATTGAATTCATAACAAATTCAATTATAAGTCAAGTAGATTAAAATTTTATGATATCTTAAAATCAAATCACATAAAATTAGTTGATTAATGTATCAATGCATAAATCAAATGTAAATGTAACAAGGTAAGGTAAAATAAACCAATAACAAATAATTTGTTATTTTTTTCAATATTTGTATTAGATTAAACACCAAGTCTTTTTAGCTTCATTTATCCCTGTTGTGCCTCATGTTTCTGTATAAAATTTTTTCGTTTCAAAACAAAACTCATGCATTACAATAATATATTTTAGTTTAATTATAATAGCCGAGTTTTTTGTTTTTTTTTATTTTTTCAATTATGGGTGACTTTGACTGTATAGAGATGGCAGTTCAGAAACAATATGTGTTACCATTTATATATAAACGATTATCATTTTTTTTCGGCTACATTTTGGCTAAGAGATATTACCAATCACCAAATAACACTCAGCAAAGCTCTAATTAATTTTTTTTTTTACTCGCATACCTATCTACAAACAAAAGAACGTTTGAGTGTTTTGTCAATTTTCTCGATTTTTTGATTGAAGTTTCTCCTCAAAAATGTTTCTTGTACTTAAAATGTGAACAATGTCAAAGGATAAATTTTTCGATATACTTCACTTGATTGAACGAGGCTAGATAACGATTTTTTCTCAATATTGTCTTTACCCAGCCATCCTATTATGTTATTTCCATGTGAAATTAACAAGTGTCATTCAGATGATTTCTTGGATATAAGTATTTTACTTTGTAACTTTTATACATTTATCCAGACATTCATCCAAAGCTGATTTGCATGGTAGTTTTACTTTTTTTCGAATAACAATATGTATATATGTATTATTTACCTACTAAAGTGGTTAGGGACTTTTTGTTTTATGTACTTTTTTCGCATTACTTGGGGTCTTATTAATTTACCACTAATAATATCGACTACAACAGTGACAATTTACAGAGATCGCACGTAATAACACCTTGAATATTAATTTCACCTCTGCTCTTACAAGACGATGTACAGAATTTGTTAGTAATTGTTTCTTTAATTTTTTGCTTCCGACGCATTACAATTGCCTACCAAAGATGCTTTACAATGTTTCTATATATTATTCATTATTATTATTAACAAGGAATTCGAAAAATGTATTTGACATAATTAGTCTCATCGCGATTTATGTTATTATATTACATAGTTTCAATTTGTCCAAGTCTTAAATCGGAACTACATTTGATTGCAAAAAAAGGTTTATGTAACTTGTATGTGTAGCGTGTGATTTCATATGCACGAGACATGTAAATAATATTTATATGTAACGCTTCAAGTACGAATTTTATGTTGACGTTGTCTTAGCCATTGACAATGAAAAGAAATTTCAGTGCCTCCGATACAATTATCACTCTGTATCATGTATCAGAAATGACAGATTATCATAAAATGATCAATAATCCGATAACTTATTTGACACAGCATGCTGGATCCGATATTTTAGATTCTATCAGTCGATTATCGATGCCCAGCGCTGTGCCTTATAAGAGTGAATAAGGTTGTACGCTTCATTTATTTAAATTTTCATCGAAATTGATCATCTGTAGCAAGTTTATTATCATGTACTTATATAAGAAATATGAAAAAAAATCAATCTTATACAGAGCGTGTGAATAAATTAGTCTCTCTAACAGTAACAAAGTTGATTAATTGATCAGTTGTTAGGCAATAGAACTTTGATATCTTTGTGAAAATTATGAGCCCAAGATAAAATTCTCCCAGACATAAACAAGGTTACAACATTTATTCAAATGGTACACATTGTACAATCATACTTTTATTTTTTTTATTAAACATGATTTCATTTTTAAACTAGTACCTTTATTAAATTATATTCTATTTACACTCGTATCTGCGTTCATTTCTTTTACAGCTTCATTTAAATCTTAAAAGTTTATTTGCAAAACTTTTTCTCGATATTATCGCAGAATGAAATAAAAGTTACAATATTACATGTATATCCAATTGTTTATTTATATATAATATCTAAATTTATTATTTAAATCTCACGTAGAAACAGCAGACCTTGGTGGCAATTCTTCGTAATAATTATTTTTTAGTTTCCTATAAGTGCGTTTTTACTTGCTCTTAGCCTCTTAATTTTTTTCAACTACTTAATAACAATCATTTGACACTTTAAATCTGATTCACTATCCACATCGCACACAGTCCACTTGTAACATTCATAACAGACGCACATGTATTTTTTTATAAGTTATACGTTAATCGTTACATCGATGCGACTATTAAATCACATTCGAGACATGAACCTACGTTTTCTCATTTCATTCTACATTTATTATTGTATTACATCTCCGATTTTTTAATTTTAAAACCATCATCGTTTGTCTCGATATTTTTATACAATCATAGTCCGTTATACATCAGATTCGTTTTGTATTTCGCACTACTCACACACGTATTTATTTTATAATTATCATAGAGTTATATCATATTTTTATATTAATGTGACGAGAATAATCATAACTGATCATTCATTGTTATTATTATTATCATCAACTTTTAAATTTTCTAGTATGAGAACTATTAATGCATACGTATTTTAAAACTAAACGTCGAACATTTTTTCTTACCAATTTTGTTTACTTATAAGAGTGTATTTTTAGTGTGTTTATATATTAATATAAAAAGTAAAACATATTGTAAAAATGATCGAAAAAAGGCTGATCGACGATCTTAGAGAACATGTGGCGCGCGAGTGATTTCGAACTAACAACAAGACACTCAAATGTTCGGTCGGTGACTCACGAGTGGCATTTAATATTACAATACCGTTTATTTATTTTACTTTTTTTAATAAAAAATATGATTTGGTGTCTTGATATATCTATAAATATTTATATTTCTTTTGACGACGCGTAATTTCATTCCTGACAACCGATCATCTGCCCATAAGCATCTCGCAAGTTTGTGTGTTAGCCCTTATTCACAATAAATAAAGAAACATTGACGACACTTTTCAAACGACACATATTTATGTATGCATATATTTGTGAATATATGTATGTGTGTAATATTTAAAATTACTTTGAAGTTTATCGTCAATCACCGTACAGTTTTTCGTAGACTTCCGGCCGAAAAAAACAATATTCGAATCTGCAGCCAGAATAAAATTTAAAAAATGTCGAAAATCACATACATTTTTAACGTAATCTTGAACATTATTTAATTTTACTTTGACATTTTTTATGTTAATCGAAGGCTCTGCACTTGCACACGATAACATTGGTCTCGTCTTCAATCTAGTTTCACATAGTCTTTGCCGTTGACACTTTATACGATCACCACCTCTGCACTGGTTATAGTTTTTTCACGTTTATCACAACTCTTTCTCCCTCGCCTTCAGTTCCTCTCGCATTTCTATGATTCATTTTACATTCACTATATCTCTCATTAGCTTCGATAAACAATGTACACTTTTACAACAAAACTCATTCAAATGAGTAAGAGAGAAAACTCGCGTTTATAATAATTCATAGTAATTATAATACTGTGGCAACAGCTTAATATTATTTTATGTTCACGCGTCCATAATAGTCGCGCGCCGTTTGCTCTATCGATCAACATTGTTATTTCGACGCGTATGATTCAACCATTAAAAAACCCGCGTACCGCACCATCTTTTCTCGCATTTTTTTCTTTTTTCATTTTATAATACACATTTTACATCTCATATAATATATATATATAATTTTTATTTTCCATCTTAATCATACGCCCGCGCATCGAGTGATGTCAATAATTATTCAGTCCAGCTGCCGAGGGAATTTTGGCACCTTATATATATCGTACATATAATAATGGAGCGCGCGATCAGCGTTATAACAATTATGAATCGCAGCCTTAGCCACAGTATCAACGAGAACTTGCGAGAGTTCAAGATTTGCGCTTCGTCGTTTACCCCTAACACAATCTACATTGCAAAACCGACTCCGTTCAAAAATTCAAACGAATATCTCTTGTGACGAGGTTGTTATCGTGTCAGATGAGGCGGACGAGGAGGAGGACGTCGTAGTGAGCGAAAGGGAAGGTGCCGGATAGGGCTCGTAAAAGTAGAGCCTGAACTCGTCGTCGTCCGTTGGTAGCAGTACTAGTTATGGATGATCGTCGTCTTCATCATTGTTAGCGACACCGCGTGTCGGTTGACTCTCGGCATTCGCGCTGTTATCGTCGCTCGCCGTCGCCGTTGTCGTCGTTGGCGTCGTCGTATTAGCCTTTTTATGGTTGTCCTTGTTGTCGGAACGATTGTCGGCATCGTCTTCGTCGACGACGTTGCTGCTGCTGTCGCCGCTGACGCTGCAGGTAGTGGTGGTAGTTGTAGTTGTAGTAGTTATTGTTGTTGTTGTTGTTGCTGCTTCTGCTTCTGCTGCTGTTGTGTCCGTGGGGATCGAGGTAGTAGTTTGACCGGTGGCAGGAGCCGCAGTCGTCGCCGCGGCCGCACTGCTTATCGGCAGACGAGCAACGCCAGCGGGAGGACGAGGATGCCGATGATCGTCGCCGCTCACGGCAACCGGCAGTCACAGCTTGAGCTCGTTCGCTATCTTGCTGGCGATATTCTTGAAGCCGATCGACGTGCCGGAAATCCTCTTGAAGCGCACGCCGTTCAGCGACAAGCGCGGCAGCTTGCATACCTCGATCTCCCACTGAACTTGGCTGTCGTGCTCGCCGTGCGAACACAAGAGCAGGAAACGCTCCAATTGCTCGTATTGACATTCGTTTGCGTCCAATACCTTTGGAAATGATAAAATTATGAAATTAGTGTCGACATTTTTTTATCCATCATCGGCGTTGAAAAAATATACTTCAATTATTATCTCCAAGTGTGATAAAAGCTCATTAGTCCACAGTTATATTCATATTTTTACAATGTTTAATATAGAATTGGTTAAATGACGTTATAAATATAATACACGTCCGTTTCGTCATTGTCCAAGTTTCTTTTGTCAAAGTATCTCTTCGTTGGCTAACAAGACTCCTCATAAATATCATGTTTGAATTTTTTTAAATAATTTCATATCTCTCACCTTACGAATCTCCGACATAATTTCTAGTGGATCTCTACTGCTCGTTGTTTTCATACTCCACGTGAAACGTAAACTGCGTGGTTTAACTTGTTCGTCATTAGTAGTCGCAGCACTGCAATCATTAATTGAATAAAATGAGTTTCTCATGTCAATTTTAATATCTTATGTACCTTTTAACGATCGTATCTCCACTTCGACTCATATAATATCGATTTCATTATCAATTAATTATAAATTATTAACAAATTCTAATTCAACTATCAATTACTTTTCATGCAAATCAAACTTTACCGATTTATAATTACAAAGAAATTGTAGAAAAAAGACATATATATTTTTTAAACAAGCTATGATCTTTAAAACTTAAAAAAAAAAAAAATTTTGTGCATAATTAGAGGAAAGAATCAGTATATCATAGAATTATCTACTCTGCAAAATAAAAGATCGATGAAAAATTTTGGTAGCATGTTCATTGAAATTCGAGAATGATTATGTCTAACATCGAAATGAATGAGTGAAAAGATCGATTCGTTGATTGAAAAATAAAAAAATAAATAAAAAATGGATCGTGGCATAACTAATGCAAAAACGTACCTCACTACTTGTGGTGGGTGCTTTGGGGATACGGATGGGTCCATGGGGCTGAAATAACAAAACAAAGGCATATTGCTAACAAAAAACATTGAATTTTGAAAAAAATAAAAATAATTTTTTGAATGCTTTTGGCTCATACGCAACCACCACCATAAATTCCAAACTCATTTTGCTCAAAAAATTTTGTCATGAACTTTTCCAGCTAAGAAAGTTTAATCGTACATACTTTTTGAAAAGAAAAGTAACTGAAGCAAATTAGCATGAATATGAAATAATCGAAAAAACATTATGGCGTTGAAATAAATTTATAATATATTGGTGACTTTGACAATCTCTAACGTTATAATGACATTCATGAAAAAAAAGCTTGAAGCAATTTTTTTAACCTTTAGAGGACCAGCATTTTAAATTTGTGAAGTATCAAAAAAACCAAAGATGGTATTTGGTTTACGAATTTATTCATTTCTTAATAAACCGAATTCTCTGTTAGCTCTTAATCTTTTTAATTAAGTATGTGAATGATTGCAGTAGTGTATGGGTGAACATTGATTTTCAACGCCGAATGGTATGAAATAACAAATTGGTAACAACACGATCTTAAGTTTATTAAGTAAAAAATGAACAGTCAACGTTTCACTACATCGAACGCAGCTTTTTTAGGATTAAAATAATTGCTGATCGTTGACTGTAAATTTTATGTTTAATAAACTGTTTTCTTAACGTCCCAAAGTGAATAAGTGAAAGCTTGTGTTGTAAGTAACTTTTTATTAATTGAGATATGGCGTTGGAAAGTAAGTTACAGCTTGACACTACCGAAAATTATTCATATACTGAATTGCGAATTTGTTATTGAATAAAGGTCGATACCATTATTTTTTCCCGATCTTCACAAGGTCATGGAAATAAAATAGCTCATGCAATAATTTTTTCTGCGAACTAATTCAATTTAAAAATATCCATAAATGCAAGGTTCAGTATAAATAATTTGATATTGCAGACGCAACATTTAAAGTCAAAATATTTATTATTATGAAAATTATCACTATTATTGCTTCGTACGTTTTTTAAAAACAATAAAACTTATGTTTTTGTTGTATGACGTACGATTTCTAGAAAAACTGTTTGCCGCTACAGCTCTACTATAAATACATTGAAATAATGTCGCCTTGAGTTGAAATAAACGTTAAGAAAATTTTAATTTAACTAATCTCAGAGGAATTATTATATTTTGATATACTTCATCAAAATATATAACTGCCTGTATGATCAATCTTTGCATTCTTTTGTTACGCTTGTAAAATCAATATTATTGAAAAACCCGATTTGGACGGATGTAGAGCCTTGGCACAGAAAACAATTTTGCTGTTGTTCTATCATATGAATTCAATACAATTTAAATTGTCCGGTTCTTTTGTAATTTACATTTAATAGTATCTATTATTAATATAAACGAATGTCTCTATTTATTAAAACCTCTGCGTATTATCTGTAAGGTAGTTCCTTTAAAGGAGAAACATCATATCAACGTTTTCATTCATTAAAAGGACATATGTACTTATCAATAATCACACTTTTATCCTTGTTATAACTACAAATAAATTATTTACGAATAACTCTATTCTTTCGTTCACAAAAAGCGATGATGATAAAAAAATAAGAAATACAGAAAATGCATGAGCTTATTAGTCAAGTCATAGTTAGTTTCATCTTTTCGCATCCATGAAACTTCATTAAACCACAAAAAACTTACTACTCAGTCGACCAAGTATGTATGAGTAATGATTTCTCTTTAAGTGAGCATTCATTTTCATCCATTTCGGATAATTCAGTTTTCTTTTGTGAATAATCAATCAGACTGTACGAAAAAATTTGATTCACCAAACCAATAAAAAAACAGTCAAATTCAAGAATGATATTATCAAACATCTTCTTGAATCTCATAAGAGGGACCAGAAACTTCGAATTCGCACTTTTGCGAAAAGTCTCGCAAATTAATTAAGAAATATTATAAACCTTTGAAAGATATAACAAACTTTTTTGTTAAAATCTTTTCAGAAATAACAAAATATTGAAATAACGTTCAATTTTTATTGCCATAGATCGATTGAATCCAGTTATGTGTTGCCGAATCAGAGACGTTTGTAATGCTGCGCAAGAGATATGTACATTCAAGTGATATAAATTATTATAAAATTTAAATGAATGCTCGATTTTTTATTTTATGTGTGGTATTTATTAAATAGTATCGTCAATATTTTCATCTACGCATTTTTTTAACGCTCGTTCAATCACAGCGTTAAATATATTAGAATGTCAAATCACACGACTTGAGTTTTGGAAAACTTTTATATCGCTTTAACACTCATCATAGTTTTTTATTTTAAAGATCATTCCAGAATTGATCACGATACATTTTACGAACAAATGTATGTAAATACTAATTTTAACGATAGTAAAATAATTAAAATTAAAAAAAGACTACAATTGAAAGAGAAAGTCATAATGACCGTTTTATATATATATAATATATTTTAACAACGTTTTTATAGCAAGTGTTCTCTTAACTTCTACTTAAGATCAAAGCTTACACTATTTTAATCAAATTTATTATGATGTAACACAGGCATCTTATAAAGTATATAATATTTACAAAAATACATACTCTGGCTTGAATAACAGTTTTTCGTGAGCTTTCATACAATATACAAATCCCAAATTCATCCATTTAATTTGTGCAATAGCTGTCTACAATATGTATACTGTAATAAAGATTATAATATACAATTTTTATAAACATTATCGATAAAAGGAATATTCAAATAGTTCTTTTTTACATACTTAATGAACCACTTGATTTAAACACTTCGATGAATTATTGATAATTTTTAAACGATGTACATGACATTTTATATTGCAAATTTAAGGCTAATATTCTTCTAATTAAGGCGCATTTTCTTACCATTCAGGCTTAATGTAAATTAATATAAAATGTAGTTGCTCAAATAAATATTTTCAGGATACTCAATTATATACAGTTTAAGATATCTGTTGCGCAAATCCTTTTGACGTTTTTTTTTTTTAATATATATTTTCAACATATTTTTGCACTTTTTGACTTTGCTGAGTCGTTAAAACAGAAAAAAATTGAATCATACATTCTATTATATATAAATGTTTGGAAGAAAAAACACAAGATATGATGTAAGCTCGAAATCGAACTATGTCTAATCTGATATAAATATACAATATAATTTTTATCTACCTATCTATTCGCAATGCGCTCATTAACTTGATGTTCGTTTTCAATTTTACTTAGCGTGCATTAAATCATAAAAATGTATCGATAACTTATAATGACGCTAAAAAACCACCGAACAAATTATTATAATCAAATTTAACTCACTAAAAGCGGGCACATTCGGTTTATGCACTTGACGTGTGCATACAGCTAAATAATTAAAATGAATCAAATATTACCGCCTTTTACCTTTGTCCAGACACAGTTACGCGCAATAAATCCTAAATTCAAGACAAAAAACAGACAACGAACAGCGAGTAATGAAATTTTCTTTTCTTTAATGCAGCGCTTGAAATCCTATTAATTTACGCGGTGTCGACATTGCCCTCTTCTCATGTGTCTTCGCTCATAACGCAAAATTTCGTTTCATTCTTCAAAACTTCCGCATTGTACATGTTGTATTGTTTGTATGTTTTTTTTATACGTATTACTACAGTCCGAGAGCGAGGGAAAAAGACCAATCCAGGAAATCGCATTATCCGTCATTTGGCTTGCACGCATGATATATTATACACAAATGCACACACTTTACATCTCTTGTGTATACTTGCGCTGAGTGTGCACTTGTTCTATGCGTGTATACTCATGTATCGTAATTATGGGCGAATTTATGAGCGATTTTATTTTACCGATGAGCTAGTAGTCTATAGTCAAGTGGTGCTTGTCCTTGTTTCACCATGAGGTCTTTTCTCGTATAACTTTTTGACTTTTTTTACTTTTTTTCCTATTGAGAGCCACACAGCAAGCGAGTTAGAGATTCGTTGATTACTTGGTAAACCTGTCAATGCACGACACAAAAGAGAATTCATTTGTAATTTTTTATTTTTGGTTTTTGGCTTCTTTCTTAGCTAGTTTTATTTTCGTTTTTTTATACACTAAAGAGAGACAGAATTATTTTTTCATCAATAACTTGGGCTGGTTCAAAATAATTGTGTGCATGCATGAGTCACAATAGCAAATGTCTTCGTCGTTCGAATGACACATCACTAAGATACATATCACGTGCTATGTCGTTTTTGCAACCTTGATCGAGTCGAGAAAAAGTTAATACACACGTTTATTTTTGTCAAGTCTCTAATTAAACGGTAATGTATGATAAAATGCACTGTTTGGAATAATGTATAAAAAAAACGTATAACTACCCCACCCTTTGTCAATATGACTGATCAACAGTAGTTTTTTCCAACTTTTTTTTAAGATATCGATCACAGAGTAGAATTAGCCCTCTTTACCGAAAAAACAATTCTCGTCATCTCAAAGTTTACAGAACTAGTATATTTTTTATGGCAAAAAAGTCGTGGTATTAGATTATATTTACAACAATTTTTTCACAGATATATTTATGTATAAATATCATAGATATTGATACACAATATAAGATTTGCACAGTATAATATCTCCAAATATTTTCAATTTCGTTTAAACATAATAAAAGCCTATCACATCGTCATTATTCGCACAAAATCGCACTTCTCGTTTCGAGCGCACTAAAAAATTGTCAACAAATTTTGATTTTTTTACATTGTTCAATTACCAGGCAATAAAGGTTGAACGTTTAAACAAATTATTCTAATTTTAAACATTAATAAAATCAACAAATTTTTAATATTGCATCACTTTTTTTTAAAGATTTGCAACTACTATAGAGTATGGGCAATAAAGGTAGCATGTTTTCATAAACAATACTCACGAGACTAAAATCTAAGAAAAAATAAAGAAATTCAATCCTTTTTTCATAAACGTTTGGCCGATGGATATCAGGCTGTGAAAGGTGAAAAAGGCACAAGTAGCGATATAAAATACATTATTCTTAGTATTGGTGCTTTTCTGATTTGAAAAATAGTTAAAAATGAAAAACATAAGAAGACAGACGCTGCTTCTACAATTAGCCATGAAAAAAAATAAAAATGTTACTTTATTTATCGTGGCTATATCGCTGCAACATGCCTTACATGCTTACGATTGGAAAAATTGTTTTCATCGCTAAAACTCGAGCCATCGTCGCTCGAAGATTTTACACTAGTTTGATGTACATAACAAATTCCTATCGTAAGTGTGGAATTTCATAGAAATTATTTCTACATCGCTGCTATGTACATCGGTAATTAATTCCTCAATAATAGCAATACTTCATGAATTAAAATTGTTCGTATTTTATATCATTTACGTCAGATCCACATACGTACCACAGAATAACGAAGATTATAAACAGAAATATTAGAATCTTTATAAATTATTTTCTTTTCACACATCACAAGAAAATTTTGTCACATTATATACACAAATATAGATATACAGCACGCAATGTTTTTATTTGTTTATTTTAATCGTAATATCAATAATTTTTTCGGAATCCAGAATGCTGATTGCTGATTCTTCTCAGGGAAATTTCGACTTATTGTTGTTCAGTCGTAGAGTGAATTTTGTTTTGTAAGATTTTTTAAAGAAACAGAGGCTTTTTTGTGTGTCTGGATCTCTTCAATTTTGAGAAACAGAGAGAGACTTTGAGAGGCAGACATTGACAGTCAGAGTAGAAGATGTTTTTGGTTTACGTCCTGCAGACACATAATCGAAAAGTATTCATGAGAAAAAAATGCTTCCTGACGTTTTCTTTTTGGTAAAAAAAAAACGTTCTCGTGGAAATGAAAAGTTAAATTATTGGATTATTTGCAGACAAGAAAGAAAATGGTAGATCGTATTCTAATTTCTTTTTTATATTTCCAGAGTGACATCAGGAAAGAAAGAAGTAAGAGAAATATATATACTCACAACGATGCAACAACAACTATGTCAAGATTAGCTAAATCTCTCTTTTGGTACTATTATGTACATCGATGATAAGACTAATTACTACTCATCAAAAACATTGCACTTTTTAAAAATTAACGTGATGGTGTTATTTTTAATACAACTATTTTATTTCAGGTGAGATATAATGAATTATTGCACAGTGACCATTTCATGAAAGGCCTACATACAAGTCTACTCATACTATATTTATTAATTTCGTTGTTCTGTGGCAGCTGTCAACACTTTTTTTCAACGCATTCACACTTTTTGAAAAATCTATTGACGTTATTTATCCTTCCTTTTTCGCAAACACATCGTTTTCCCTCTCACGTTCTTTCAGTTATTACGCAGTTTTTAGTCATTTACTTGCCTTTTTATATATTTTTGTTACTTTCAAACTAGTGACTTGTATCAGCCAACGCAGTCGATCGTAAATTTTCATCAATTATAAATGATTTTTTTATCACATTTTATCTTTATGGTAATGAATTGTTAAAAGATCAAAGATCAAAGATCAACAACAACAAAAATTTGGTAAAAAAAGTATATACCTCGCGTTGTTCGAATTTATTAGGGATGCACAATGAGTATGCGAGGAGACCATTACTAGGCACATTGATTGAAACAGTGCTTTTTTGACAGGGAATGAGTATTTTAATTTGGTAACCAAATATTTCTATTGAATTAAATGTACACATATGTATAAACAGATAAATCATTAAATTTGAATACTCTAATTATTAAAGGTATTCAAAAAATTTTAGATTGTACATAGTAAAAATTTAATTGTACAATAATATTGCATGTTCACATAAAGATATATTCACACTGAGCTGAACAATCAAGCAAATAACTTTGGATTAAATAAGATCAATAGTTAATTTGATTGAACGAAGAAAAAAATAATATGCATTTCATGATAAATAAAATGTAATCGAATACCATTACGATAATTAAGAGAACCATAAAAAGTGTCTGCTAATAATGTATGTAACTTTAATCTAAAAATACGTACACAGTGAATTGTATATGTATTGTATAAACTCATAGAATTTGACTAAAACGGCTTTTCATTGAATGGTCGCTCTGCAAGGTTCATTTAAAGAAATCTGTACTTTACAGTTGATATTAAAATTCAACTGCCTTTATGTTTTGATTCAAAATTTTTCGTATCATTGAGGTACATATACATTTTTTTTCAAAAAATAGTATATGTTTTATACATAGTCATTGTGCATCCTTGAGAGAATGAAAAAAAAAAGGAAGAGAAATTCGATATAATTTTTACAACATGCAGTTTATATAGGTAATGAAAAAAAAATAAAAATTAAAATAATCAAAGTGTTAATATATCAACGATATGTAACACTGATAAAGAAATATAACTACAAAAAAGAAAAAGTAATATACATGACTAGATGTTGATATCAAAATAAACAAGTATCCAAAGCTTTAAGATGATTACGTAAATCTTAAAATATAAATCTTTAAATCGACAATAAATATTTTTCGATAAATTTTAATGACGTCCAAATTGTTAGGAGAAAAAGAGGTCCACTTCAAAATTTAAAGTAATTAAATTGCGTCAGAAAAACAAACTTAAAAAAAAATTACTTTTCACCTTGTTCAGAAAATAAATATAGAACAATTAACACGTATCTAAACATTTCTCTTGGCCTCCTTTTTTTTGTTCGAGCTGATATTACTTCTAGTTCATTTTGATATTTGTAGTATAAAGTACAGGGTATATTACAAGACAAACACATAATACTTGTTTAAATCTCAAACGGTGGTGCTTTTTATAATTCCCTATCATTGCCATAATGAAAAAAAGTAAAAATATAATAATGACGAAAAAAGGCATAGTAATTTAGCAATACTCAAAATATTATTCGTTCAAAAACATGCCATATACTAAAAGTAATTAACGAATGTAATTAATTTCTCTAATGATGATAATAATAATGATGTACGTGTAAACGAAAATGAAAATTTGGAGTTCAAGTGTAGGTGTTTTTTTTTCTTTAATATAGTCAAACACTACTTACCGCTTGGAAAACCTAGATGAGAGCTTGGAAAAGAAGGACGGCCTAGCTAGCGGGCTAATTGCATTCGTGTCCTGCGTGTGTGTGTGACCCTAAAAAAGTAATGAATGCAAATGAATTGTGAGAAACATACTTTTTTTACAGGATAAATTATTCCGAGTTCATACCTGAGTATGATTTCTTTGTTGCCTATTTTGTCCAGAGTGGAAGGTGCTACGACTGGGAACATTCCTTGGGAAAGGTTGAGTCTGCGGCGTGGCCAATCTATTACTTGGAGTAACACCCAAGCTTAAAGAGAAAAATTGATAATTAAATTTTGAATTGCTAAGTGAAAATTTGTCTAAAATTTTTTATAGAGCAATCGCATATTTATTGAACTATTTCGATCATCGTCATTCCATAGTGTTATGTTTAGCAACAGTGTTGAACGAAAACATTTTATGTGTATGTGTACAATATAATATTTGTATATTAAAAATTATGTTACATTTACTTGTTTTATGAGCGTACTTATACAATTTTTGTTTGCATAGCATGTAATGTTTATTATCAATACTTTTACAATTATCAAAGTTGTTGATTGACTTAAGGACTACACTAAGTATGAGGTATGAAAAATACTCGATAAGTAAATCTCGGTTTTTTTTTATAAAAATATGAACTATCTAACATCTAACAATGACAGACTATAATTAACTATAAAGAATGTTGTGAATCATGTTCTAACAAATCAACTCTACACCTACATGCATGTACAAAAAGATAATTTTCGTGCAGCGAGTAAATCTAAAGGGATAAATAATTCTTATCTTTTCACAACAAACAAGGAAAAAATTGTTATATAGCAAAGAAAAATAGTATGAATAAAAGCATGCATGGGACCTGAACATAAAAATGAGAAATAATCTACAAAAACAAGAAGAACAGCAATGTATCGAAATTCAAGTGTAAATTATGATGAATGACGATGATGATGATGATAGGGGAAGTGTAGATTTATTTTTTTTATTTCTGATTTTTTTAGCACGTTATATGCATGCAGACGAAGAAATAATATAAGGGGGAGAAAATTAAACGATTTCAGCGATAAATTATAATCGGAATCTTATTATTTGCTCAGAGAGAATAAGAAAGTAATTACTTATTAGTAATGGTTATTCGAATCTTGACAATGATATTTTCAAGCGAAAAAGAGGATGAAAAAAACATCGAAGGACATCGTAAATAAGTCGCGCGAGGCGTGGTCTTCTGAACATAATATGTGCAAAAGTGACATTGACGAGTATAATTTTATATTCAACAACGTAAACACAGAAAATGTAAAATTAAACCAAAACGTCTATAAAACAATAAGAAAAAAGGGGGCAGAAGGTCGGACGGGGTTGAGAATCATTTCTATGTGAAAGGATCATCGACAGGTTGGTAATGGTGGTACCTCTGTCTGAGAGGATCAGCGTTAGAAGCGACGAGTAAAGAGTTGCGCGTTTGCTGATGCTCCAGAATTTGAGTCGGCTCGCCGGTGGCCGTATTACCAGCGCCGATAGATCCGGGACCACCGCCTAGCGTCGAGGACGTGGTATTACGATGATGATGATGACTGTGGTGACTACTGTGATGATGACCCGACGCAGCCGAGGTACTGATGCTTGCCGACTTGGTGTGGCCACGCTGATGAGGTCGCGTTACGTCCCCGCTGTTTTGATTTGATATTATTCATCACAGATTTACCTTGATTTTTTTTTATCAAATCGCAACATAATAGTGTTTTTTTCCTTTAACGGAGCAGAATTTTCGACGCGGTTTGCTCTTCGTTTAATAATTTTTCCTTTTTTGCAAGGGTGGTTAATGAGTGAGTAATGAGATGAAATGTGATGAATTTTTTCAAAGTTAGAATCTAGATGACGCCATAATTTCGTGCATCCTTTTATATGTATAATAATAACAGAGCGCACATGAGAGCAAATAGAGAAAGTGAAAGATAATTGTTAGTTGTACTTTTTGGTTGTTTTTTACGTCGATAACAATTGAATATGAGAAAATAAGCTATGTAGACTTAGCTGTAACGAGTATTTGTATAAGGGTCTGCATAATAATGTTATCAGTGATGATTAATCTATTATGTTATCATTGCTTGAGTTCAAGTGATAATTTTATATGTATCAGTAAAATTCTATTGATTTCTTTTCTGCTACCCTATTATTTGAGTATAAAAGACTGTTGGTGTATACTGCGAGCTTTTGTTGTGCTGAGTATCGGCCGCTACACAGATATAAACTGATAACAAGTACCCTGGCTGTGTATAGGTGTGTTTTTTTTTCGTTCAATTCTTTTTGTAGTAGCGTCTTCCCTTGTTCGTCTGAAGAATCTTTCGAGAAGGTGTTGTGTAAGTGAGGGTATGATAGATTGAATTAATCAGCTAAGGAGTGTTGGCATTATTATCAAATCATTCATGCATATGCTCTTGTAAACATTGTAACTCACAGCTAAACTCAAATGTGTTATCAAATTGAAACATGTGCGTGAATCCGCAAAAAATCAAAATTATTACGATTGACATGGGTTTTACTATTGCTTACAATACTCTTAACTTTCACCGTAATACCCAAAAAACTAACTTCCTAAAAATTGAAAAATATCACGCAGCATCTTATGTATCGATTTTTCTTCAGTTAGCGTATTATAGTTCATCGCTCACGAGTTGTATGGAGTAAAAAAAAAGAAAAAAAATTGACAGTCGAATAATACCTGGGCACGTCGTTCGTTCGCTCGGTCGACGTCGAAGATTTGTTGGCTTGCTCGTAAGAGATGGTACTTCGTCGTCCGATCGATCCCGGAGCTTGTACCATGCTCGACCTTATTCCAGGTACTCCTTGATTCATCGTGTTGCTCTTGCCGACTCGGCTAGTCGCCTTGCCGCCGGGACTCGTGCCGACGCCTAGAATGAACATTGTCACTGCAAGGCCCCATTAGATTTTTGGTTTCAACACAAAACAAAGCAAAATAAAAACAAGTTACAGTTTTTCTTTTAATTCTCTCTCTTTTTTACTTCTCAAACGGCAACAACCAGACAAGTACGAACACTGCTACTCGTAATACCACTTTGCTAAATATTTTTAATTTTGGTTTGCTTTACGTTTTTTTTTCATTGTATATATATGGTGAAAAAATTTCATTAAAAACGGACGAAAGACAAATAAACAGAACGACCACACAAATGTTTTTTTGTAAAAGATAAACTTATATACAAAAAGAACTCTGTACTCTGAACTTAAAGACTGAAAACGATTAGATTAATTATATTAATTGTTTATGCAATGTATGTAATACATGTATGTGTTCATACACGTATATAAATACATTATAAGCACGTAGTTGTGAACTTTATGCAAGATATATTTAAAAAAAAATAATGAGTGAAACCAACACCCTAAACCATTCTACAACCTTAATCCCATAAAACATTGATAACTCTCATTCCATTAGTTTGATGAATTGGTTAGATTAAGATTTTTCATTTCAATGATATTCAGTTCTTGGACTTGCTATGTTTTTTTTTTTGTTTTACATTCGTCAGTACTCACATTGTAATAACCACTTTAAAGACCACAGGGCTGAGCACGAACAGAATTTGGAAAAATTAGAAAAAGGTTCGATTCAGTTTAGATAGATAGTGCATTGGTTAAAGCAAGTTTATTGAAGATAGATAGTCAATGATAAAAGCAAAGCCAGAAAAATGAGTTTTCTATATTGTTAGTTCATGCATGCATGTTCCAAGAACATGCATACACATTGACAGTATTTTTCTAAAAAGTAGGAGAAAGTTTAGCAATTAAACTTACTAAAAATTTCTTGTCATAAGTGCTGCCAGCCCTGTTTAATTTTTAGATATGACCAAAACAAACTCTCTATTTTGAGCATAATATAATTTATAAAAAATTACAATTTACATGTTAACATGAATAAAATAAATAACTGACTGGACTGATTACCACCCAAAGGGATGCAATATACATAGACATAACAAATATCATAGAAGCTTTCAAATAAATATTATAATATGATTCCCAATAGTTAAATGTTTTTAACGCTCGTAAATTATTTTCAGTTAAATACGGAAAAAATCTTATCCAATTTTACCATCGCACTGCAGGACGACGAATGAATAATGAGCAAAAAAATTGGTTATTTGTGAAATGAACTCACTAGTGTCAAGTTGTCCAGGGCTATTTTTGGTCGCGGACGGCCGAGCAGATTCACGAGCTGCTCGAGCTGAATTTTCTTTAATCGTAGCTGCATCCACGGTATTCTGTCGTTTGAAATTGCTACCGCCACTTCCAGTAACCGTTCCACCGGTCACAGCAGTAGCGTGATTGTGGTTTGTAGTATTACCTGGACTTGGAACTCCTCCTAAATTTGTGGGAAGCAAAATTCGAAGTAGAACCAAATACTACCTTTATTGGCTCTTCTTTTTTTTCGCCAAGAAATTTGTTTACTTTTAATGAGGACAACCACAATTGAGCGAATGATGATAAAAAAAATTAAACATAAATATCATATGTTACATGCATAAGTTATTGATGAACTTTTGCTTTTCAAAAAAAAATTTTAAAAATATTGCAATGCTAGCACCATCTAGTTATTAATGAAAAACTTAATTTATTTACAATATTATCAATAAATCAACATAATTAATACTACTTGATGGTAAAAAAAAAAGAAATTACATGGTGCAGATTTGTATCAACATAAAGTGAATGAATAAATAATTTAACTAAAAGAATGAGCAGGCTTATTTTTCAAGATGTACAATGTCGCGTAAGAGAGCTTAGGCTCGTGAACGATGAGTTGAATCACACATTAAACAGCAGTGTACAGAGAACGTTTCACCTCCTAAGAGAATTTGCTGCTCTTGTAAAATGATTAAAATTTCAATTATTTTCTACATACATTTGAATGTATGTACAATGTAAATAATAAATACAGCAGCGGTCGTTCGTATAAACGTTTAGAAGCATCAGTAGTTTAATTTTTTTTCGTCAATCATTGATTCAGTTGGGCTTTGTTTTGGTATCGTATATCATATTATTGATACTGTCATCACGTAAATGATGACAGCCAAATTGTTATCGGACTTACGAAGCGTTTCACCACCTGACGAAGCTCGCCTATTTGGTTTCGGATTGCTCGCCGAGATGCTGCGATGTACCGTTCGGTGCGATGGACTCTGAGCGGCACCGCTCGTAACCGCGCCACCTCCACTCGCACCCGATCCAACTTGGGGTGGAATGTTGCGCAATGACAGTGAACTGCCCGACCTCGAGCCGTCGCTCTCCGGCTGTTGAGAAAAATAAAAGTTAATGAATCATCCTTACAAATTTTAATAAGTTCTTCTTCACAGTAAAAATTGGCATGCGAATGCGTAAGGGCCATGCTTACATCTGTAGTTTTTCTGCCAAGCAGCAGGTACGTTGCAAAGACGTCGTCGTATTTCGCCTGTTCGAGCGAGTCCTCGATTTCACTTCGTGTGTAGCCCATACTCGCTAGTGCTTCTGTAACAGTAAGGTGTGGTAGGCATAGTCAAATCTATCATCATGAATGCACTATTTTTTTAATACTAAAAATACAACCATAAATCTCACTAATGTACCTTACTACAACTACCAAAACTAAGAGAAATGGTAGGGTAAAAGTAAGAGAAATCTATAGGGATTTTCAAAAATTAATGGAACCATAATATCATGCTATAATCGATACTATGTAAGCTAAATTAAAAATAGGTATTGGTGTTTGTCTAAGAAAGGATGGGTCAAGTCTAGGACAGTAGAGATTCAGTCATGTCGTAAGATTTTAGAATCTGCTACAGACTACATTGTTAATTAATAAACAAAATAAACATACATATGTACAATGAATTATATCATATAATGGTAAATTAACGAAATCTACCTAGACCCAAGTATCAGTTTTATTGAGAGAAAGCGTGAGACACACGTTAATCTCTTCATAAAATGGTACTCGCATTATATGTATACGTCTTACTGTGCTTACTGTTTGTACTTTTATGGACACTCTGCACTTTGAAAATAGCGACTTTAATTTTGTTGTGTTTGTTTTTCAAATTCAAAGCAATGATTGAAACATTGATTAAAATGACAAAGCTTATGATGCATTTGTTACTGACACGAGTAATATTTATAACGATAACTTTAATCGTTAGCAGAGTAGTTAGAGTATCCCAAAAGTAGTAGTAGTAGTAGTACACGCAGGAGCGAGTAATCAGCTCACATGAGACGACCACCATATAGTCGAGCGACGACAGTATGTGTATGTGCGCGACACAGCGCGCTTGGCTAGCTTAATAGCTAATCTAAGAGACAATAAGGGTAAGTAGTAAATGTTATGTACATACTGGCAGACTCACCTATCCTCTTGTGATCTCTGTAGTCTGGCTCTGGCTCTAAGTACGGTTTCAATTCGTCGTCCTCGTAACCTGTGTTCATCCATTTGTCTTTCATTATGTTCTGCAAAGCGGAAGAAGAGAAAGCATACGTTAAAAATTGCTCGGCTGTCTCAAACGCGGTGGTTCATTAATGTTTAGAGTTTCGGAGGCTTACCTCTAAGGAGGCTCTTTTCGTTGGATTGAGCACCAAGAATTTTTTGAGCAATGCCTCGCAGTCTGTCGACATGTAGAAGGGTATGCGATACTTTCCACGGAGTACCCTTTCGCGTAGCTCCCTCAGCGTAGAGCCGTCGAAAGGTAAAGACCCCGAGACCAGAGTGTACAGTATCACGCCTAACGACCACACATCAACTTCTGGCCCGTCGTACTTTTTACCTGAAATATAATAAGACAAGAATAGGTTAAAAATGAAATTTATGCGTCGTGAAAAAGTCATTATGGAGAAGCGTGCGTACCTTGAAAGAGCTCGGGAGCTGCGTAAGGCGGCGAACCGCAAAAAGTATCGAGCTTGTTGCCCGGCGTGAACTCGTTGCTGAAGCCAAAATCAGCGATCTTGATATTCATCTCGCTATCAAGTAAGAGATTCTCGGCTTTGAGATCGCGATGGATGATCTTCTTCTGGTGGCAGTACTGCACCGCGGAGACGATCTGGCGGAATTTCGCTCGCGCCTCCTTCTCCTTCATGCGGCCGTGCAGCACGAGGTAATCGAAGACCTCGCCGCCGCTGGCGTACTCCATCACGAGGTACAGAGTCTTTTCTGTCTCGATAACTTGGAAGAGCTTGACGATGTTCGGGTGGTCCAGCATCTTCATTATCCTCACCTCACGGAACAACTTTATCGAAGAGAAAAAAAGAAGAAATTGGTTAGAAGGAGGTAAAATGTCGTGCTAAAGCGCCCCAAAGATAGAGAAAGAGAGAGAGAGACGCAAGCGCGAGATAATAGCGAATCTATCGCGGTCCATTAAGCACAAGAGCTGCATAACTGCAGCATCCACCCCCACCCTATAGCGTGCAGTAGCAGCAGTAGCAGCAGCAGCAGCAGCAGCAGCAGCGGAGAGCGTCGATAAGCCACAAAACACGCCACTGCCGCGCTGCTGCACATGCCAAACACGTATACCTACAGAAGACACTTAACGAGAGGAGGCCTCTCCTTCTTACCTTTTGTAAGCTGCCCGGATTGAGCTGAGTCTTGTCGATGATCTTGATGGCGACCTCCTTGCCGGTGGGTACATGCTTAGCCAGTTTGACCTTAGCGAAGTTACCTTTGCCAATAGTCTTGAGCAGCTTGTACTTGCCGATGTGAGGCTCCTCATTGACCCGACTCCTGGACGAGAGCCTGGCCGAGCTCGGAGCACTGCTGCCCCCGCCGCTGGCGCTGACGGTGCCTCCGCTAATGCCACCGCCGCCGCCGCCGCCGCCTCCGCCACCACCAGTAGTGCTATTGACGCCATCGGCCGCCTGTAATCACCAACCAGAAAACACAAAATTTAGCAATCCTTGATCTCAAAGCTCTCCTGCTGCGTTCGTACTTGCACGCATGATTATTCATTTTCTATCTATGAGTATGATAAGTTTATATACGAAGCTATGGCTGCACACACGAGGCAGCGTATATATAATTATAACATAGGAAAAATTGGATATGTTAATAAATCATCGTCAAAGTATCGAGTTGTATAAACATGTAAGCGTATATATCGCAAAGGTCCTAGGAAACTCGATCGAGTATATGCACAGTACGAATACATACTCATATATAATCAAGGGTGGTGGGGTTGTCTCGGATTACTCGGGTGGACAAGAGAAAGAGAGATAGATAGAACGTCGCACGCAGAGAGATAGAGAGCGAACAATTTATCTGCCATGTATACAGATATTTGCAAAAAAAAAAAGGAAAAAGAAAAGAAAGAAAAAAACACAGCTCTATGCAAAGGTAAAACCTTAGATCTGGAGGAGGAAGACTTGGAGGAGCGTCTCGACGATGTCGTGGTGGTGGTATTGCTACTGGTCGTGCTGCTACTGGTCGTCGCCAGGTCGATCTTGGGAGGCGACGACGACGACGACGACGACTGTTCCCTGACGCTCGCCATCCGACACTGACGCCAGAGTCAACGCCAGAGCCAGAGAGCAGCAGTAGAAGCACTGTGCCAGGTAGACAGAGAAGAAGCGCGCACACACAGACGACGACGACGACGACGACGCGCGCGAGCCATAGCCAGAGAAGATGTCCTATTCGTATTCGTGTTTGTGTGTTGGTGTGTATACTATCGCTTTCTCTCTTGTACGTTGAATAAGAATACGCGAAAGTGTGTGTGTGCGGGTCTGCGTATATATTCCAATCGATAAAACGACGACGACGCGCGAGGGTGTTCGTCGAACCACCCTAAAAGGTACGCATGCGCCGTCACCCCACCCCCGTAAATCTCTGTCCTAAAGTTGAGCGTACGTCTGTCTGTCTCTGTTCCTCTGGAGAATATATGTATGTATGGACGGGGTATTATATGTGTATAAAATGCACGAGGCAGCAATAGCCAGAGGAGAGCGCACAGCTCTCTTGGGCGATTTGCGAGCTCGGGAGCAGAGCACGACTGGCACGCAGGGCGGGGGATGAATCTATAACTTGTTGCTTTTCTTCGTTTCTCTGGTCGGGGCTCTCGTGCTGCGGGCACTCGAACATAAAGGCCCGACAACACGCAGAGAAGCTGACGCGCCTCATAATACACGTACATATATCAAGGACCCGAAGTCACGCAATTCATATTATACACGCAAAGGTATACGCATTTTTATTTTTTGTTTTTTTTTCTTTTTTTTTTTTTTTTTTTAANGCGCGTGGTATCCTCGGCTCGAGCAGCAGAGCTGCGGCAGCCTGATGATGTCGGCTCCTCGCGTCGGATGCGGTGCGCGTCAGCCGCGACGAGGCCGTCGAGCTCGCCGACGAGGACGTCGACGAGACACCCGTCGCTGCGTGATTGGTCACGCCGCCGATGATCGAGTGGTGCGCCTGCGGATGATGGTGGGCCCCGCCGACACCCCAGCGATGATGATGCGCCGAGCGCTGGCGCAGCTCGGCTGGACCGATCGAGTTGCGCCCGACCTGGCCGCGCTCGATTCCACCGCCACGGATTTCCGGTCTGCGAGAGTGGGTACAAGTGTCGATGCATTGATTCTTTTTTTTTTGTTCGTCCGACGCTTGCTGCACGGTGCGCGCGTTGCGTTTTCTCCAAAACCACACACGCGCGCGCACGTATGCATGTAAAAGCGCGCGCGGCCAAAGGAAGGAGAAAGAGAGCCAAATTTCAACGAGGATAATCGCAATCAAGGAGAACGACGACGCTGCGTATAAAATATCAGCAGCGATGCGGTAGTGCAGCTTTTTTTAGATCGGTTAGTGTATATAATATCGTGGCGACCGAGTGCTTGCGCGCTTACAGAACTTTTTTTTAACGAGATGTAGTGTACAATATCGCGGGGAGGTCAACGAGCTCCTTCTCTCTCGCGCTCTCTCTCTCTACCGGTTGTGGTCTGAAAGAGAGCGAGAGAAAAAAAGCAAGGATATGGTATACGCATTTGCGCGCATAGTTTCATTAAACCTTATCTATTTTCCATTCGATATATAAGCTTTTTATTACCTGGACTACTCGTACATCTTATACGCGTGCGCAAAAATTTTTCCACCTTTATCGAGTCGAAAGACAAAAAAATCGGGGCTTTCCACGCGAGAAGCGAGATTAGACATTTTTTTGACGTAACAGTGCCCGCACGCGCTCCGTTTCAGAAATTATCGACGAGTTTATACCCACCTCCCGCGCCTTATCGATAAAGCTCGGCCGACCGATTAATCAATCCCCGGCTCGCGCGTACGTCCTACGTTTAATGAAAGTTGGAAGTTCGAAATTTTTTTTTCTCGCTTCGGATACTCGCAACTTATTAAAATGTGAAATGCAAATGCGCGAAATGAGTTTAGTATTCCGAAGTTTTACCTTTTTTTTCCTTCATAAGTCATATAGACGAGTCGACGCAGCGCAAGTTAGTTCGTCATTATTATATGTATACGGCTTCGGGTCGATTATATTATGACATAACTAGGCACGTTCTTGCCTATATGACTTTGACTGTGCGCGCGCGTCCGTATATACACGTATATATAATAGCCGCAAGACGGGCAAGTACGCCTTCAAAGTTCCTAGGTCAAGATTCACGACTTTCTCTCGTTCGTGTCGCCAACAAAAGCAACGAAAAAAAAAAAAATAAAACTCTCTACATGGCCCGAAAAAATAAACTCGGCTCTCGCGATCATCTTCGTTGGGCTCTTTGATTCTCTCTTTCCCCTTTCTCTCGCATTCGGAGAATAACGTTGGGAGGGTATTATGTTTACTTGATGTACGTCTCCGGCTCGTGATTAACGCTATCGATAAGATCCTCGTGCTCTTTGTAGCGCAAGTAAGTACTGTCCTCCTGCTGTTGCTTCTGTTTCTGGATTAGATCCTGCCTGAGACGCTGGGCCGCCATCGTGCTCGACTCGATCGACCTGACCTGCTGCTCGAGCTGCGACAGAGTCGTGTCTTCGCTAATCGTCGGCTGCTGCTGTGGCTTCTTAATCGATGACGAGTGACGATGACCGCCGATGACCATGTTGAGATTTACTGGCCTGTCATGATGATTGTTGGACGTGGGCGAGGTCGTCGTTGTCGCCGAAGCGACTCGTCTTCCGTTCACGCTCATCATATTGTTGCTGGGCCGTTGTTGTCGCTTCTGCTGCTGCTGCTTCTGCTGCTACTGCTGGTGGCTTGACGTCAATTCTGTCACATTAATACACAACGCACATCTTTTTTTGCTGTTTTGTTTGTTTGTTTGTTCAAATTCTTGAACGCGTAATGACTAATTGTTTTCTCTCCCTCACTCATGTGTTGTGCATCGATATACAAGTCTCGAGAGAAGGCGATTAATGTTTTCTTTTTGAATTGGTGCGTTATATAGTATAAATGCGTGTGCAGCAGTAATATGTACATCTAAATGTTTGCAACAGGTCACCATCACCATTATCACATTTATAGCAACGACATAATGAATAATATTCATCCAACAATCATCGGCACCTATGTCCTTATGCAAAAGCCACGATGTATCACTGTTTGTATTTTTCATGATATTTCGTTTATTTGTTTGTTGGAGGAAAGCTCGTATGGGTGACGACGATTATAGCGAGTATAAACGAGGGGTCTATTATAATGGGTGATAATTTTTCAAAACAACGATGACGGCCACCAAGTGGTACGATTGCGAGTATTATCAACATGAATAGGAGAAAAAGAGAGAGAGAGAGCAATAGAGACAGACACCACCGACAATGAAAAATGCGTGACATCGAAGCAAAACAGCCAAGTTCCGAGTAAATAGATGATGTAACGTGTTGTATTATTCGGAAGACGTAGTGCGCACGGGGCTGGGTGAGCGCCGCGTGCAACGATAGCACCTCGCGCGCCCGAGCTCGCCACTTATTATAGCTTCTTATACATATGATAGGCACTCGATACATGTAAGTAACAGTCACACACTTGTTTACGGGGAAGCAGTGCGGGTAAGCCAGAAGGTAAACATTGATTGTTATGCGATTGTCCGATGCGAACACGTGTAAGCTCGAGTGCACAAATGCGCAAGTATGTGTGTTTGTGTCACTGTAATAGTTTGTATAGAAGTAGATTGAAAGCTCGCTTCATTGTATTGACTCGAGGAAAGAAAAATTAAAGCTCGACTTTGACGACAACGACGCTGACGTTAAGAAAAAAAGGCAAAAAAAGCGAGTAAAAGAATCGACGAGATTTGCGTTCATACGTAAAATGACAGATAAAGTCTTATCGATCACATTTTAAAGTGTATGTATCGCGTACAAGCAGATACCAAGAAGGTCTCTGTACGAATATACATGCGTCCATGATCGTCGCGTACACGTCCATGCGATAGGCGTAAGAATTTTCGTATTATATTTTGAGCAATGCAAAAGTGAGAGAGAGCAGAGATAAAAAGAATGTGTTGATTTCGATTGCACACGCGCGCTTACATATTATTATATGCAGGTGATAAGACGATGCCGAGAGAAAAAGAAAAAGAGTGAGAAAGAGAGCAAAGAGCGAGCTGGTATCTTTTATCTCTCGTGCTTTTTTGAGCGAACGTAATAACCCATTCGCCTCTCTGAGCTCCGGCGTAAATTAATTCTCGCGCATACAATTTATAATCGTGCAGTGTGCAAATGAAAATAAAGCTTATGTAATAAAAATTACTACGTTTACCGGCAAAAAGAAAGATGTTCCAGAGTCAAATACTACGATCGTTTTCAGTTATAGAGTAAAATAATTTTTCGGGCTCTGAAACGCGTTTCCCAGGGAACATAGTAATTTTTACCGTGGGCTTCTCTCCGCGCGTCCACATTCATCACATTCATCAATACGCGAATGGTT